ACGTTTCAACTCGCACCCAGTTTCCATATAAATGTAAGGCCTGACGAGAATTGTCGAAAGTACACGTATACTCGCCAAACTGGACTTCTGAATATACGACTAGTATAAGATTTGATGAACATTTGTCGTGTTACCTCATTCTAACGAAAAGGAACACGAAACTTTGTATTGACAGAGCACTTAGTCAAATTTGCAGTTGAAATCCCTTGACCAATCAATGAAATTGAGGAGACGCCACATACTTAAATTGAAACTTACTCTTGCATGACGTTTGCCTCTACCAAGGCCTCCATAAGTGCGCAGTCCAGTTCCTTCAAATTCTGGTTTACCTACAAATTGAAATGGGACGTTATACTTCGTAGTAGAAACAAAAAATGGGCATATAAACTATCTGCATAAGCGCACCTGATGCGTAACAGAGAAAGTTTTTTTAAAAAAGATGGAAGTTGTGCAATTGTCCGCAAAAATCTACGTCTATGTCTACTAAAGTTTTGCATTACGGGGTTCCTCTCCATATGGATTACCGAGGCTAGAAATAAAATTAGAAGAAGCGTTCGTCAAAATCAGAAATCGAATCGAAGTATGTAAGGCTAACTTAACCATGCAACAGCAATCTAAAATGCCGAAATTTTGCAATGAAACATACAGTTGGAAGTTCGCGAAACACAGCCTCTGAGTTATTCATTTAAATGGAGTCCACAAGTCGAACCAACAAAGGGCTTTAAGCTCTCTGGTAAATATTCGAGGAAGCAATGGCCACAGAACCTAAGAAAGTTACTACATCTGCTGCATGACCTAGACTAGTGAAGGTCACCGGAAAATCGATGGACTGAGAGGGAACAGTAACGTCCTGTTTGTGTGGGATGGAAATGTTGTTAAACAATTTTTTTCTGATAAAATAATGCGATCGCGTCAAGGTCGTTGAAATTTCCAGAATTACACGAGGATAGGACCCTGCATCGTATTACAGGCGGCCATGCGTTCAATTCCAAGGAGATTAGAGTTAAGGTTAGATTCAGGACACGGGAGGGCCACCCTTGTCTGATCAAATGCTCTAATGGCAGTCAACACAGAACAAGTATTTTGCATTTCTGTGACCAGAGGCCTCAATTCCCGTTGTTGCGATTTTTCAGCCTGAAATATCATAGAAGTTAAAAAGAACATTTTTTACATTTCTGCCGGTCTCGCAATCCATTAACAAGTCGCAGGATATTACTTTTATTAGAGTCGGGTGTTTACAGCAGGATGGAATGGAGGAATGGTCACTTTATCATCTATCATAGCGGAATCAGAACAAATATACAAAGATTACACATATGTTACAATGCAATAAACAGTCAATAAGCTCTAGAAAGCCTATAAACTGTTCACTTATCCTACTTCCAGATAAGTGAACGAATTAATTAACGGACAATATAAAGCATCGGAATTTTAGAAGTAAAACCACCCCGTCTCTGCATTTTATATCTTTCGTCTGAAGAAAGTTTCTAACACAACCAAAAACCACTGATGAAAGACAGTCGAGTTCCAATCGAAATGTCGACGGAAGCACCAGTAGAATCGCCTCTTCTGTGTATTTTGGATAAAGTATTCACATTTGATGACCAGAAAGATTGTTGAGTTTCGAACTCGCGTCTCTTCGGTCAGAGACAAACGTCGTAACCATTGAGCCATTGGCGACAATTTCCGCTGCAACACTAGAGTTGGGTATCCCCAGCTGACGATTGCAAAGAAGCCAGAAAAGGCCTGCCTGGGAGTCCCTTGTCTTTGTCGGTAATACATAAAATAAAAATCTGTTACTAAAACTTAATAAATAACATTACTATTCGCCTTGCAACATATATACTTGGGGTGCCAAGGCTGCAAAAGGCATCAACCAGGATGGCTACATCCTGAAACAGATCGGTGTACAATTACCCACTACCATATTCTACACTATTTGTCTTCTGAATAGCGAAATCTGACATTTGCAAAAAGGAAAGTCTCCACTTACTGCTTTTTCACCCTGCGTTGACACGATAATCTGTCCATTTTCAGTGGTGATGTAGCAATGAACGCCCGTATCGTTGCATCTCAGGCAACCACTGCCACGACAGGAGTTACCGATGGAATGAAACAGTTCGGCCACCTTCTGATATGTTATTTGCACGCCCGAAACAGCAAGTGTGACAGTCTCTGCTGCCGGATGGCTCACCACGGTTGTAACTGTCATGGGAACGGGTAGGTCTTTCTCAAGGAACCATCTGAAAACTGTTAAACATAGAAGGCTATCAGTAAAACATACGTTGGTGAAGGTTAGACCGCAATCTCAGTAGTGAGATAGTATGAATTAAGTTAGTTGCTGAGAAGACGACTCGATCGCTGGGACAGTACTTTTATTCGCCTAAAGTTTCGAGATTCGTCGCGGATTCGTCATCAGTATTTGCGTAGCCTCGCGTAGAAATCTTGAATGAACAAACGGGTCATTCTCTTGCCGTGTTTAAACATAGCGAGTCTCGCCGTCTCCGTGTTCAGCGGGGATTTGGATCTAACACCCCCCGGCAACACGTTATTGTCAAGACACCTT